GGCTTTCCATACTTCCCACATTGTAATTCCTCGCAGTAGGTCCACTATCTCTGTTGGGATTCCTTCTATGTCTGTTCGAGTTGTGTTAAGCTGGTCAAACCGCGGTGCCCCTTCTTCTCTTGATGTCCATTTCCAAGAGTCTGTTCCATTTCGCATTCCTGCGGCAGCTTCGCCCCATACTGCCGCTTCATACGGATCTCCAAGGGTTTGCCACGTGGCATGCTATAAGTACATAAAAGTATGCCACGTGGCATGCCACCTCATCCAAACCATCCGTCTGAATGCCACCTTCTAAAAGGTATAGCTCATGGCATATAAATTGCTCAAAATGTATGCCACGTGGCAAACCCTACCCTACCCTAAACCCTAAACCCTACGCTTGCACATGGCATAGTGTTGCGTTCCATACATTGAGCCAGTGTGCCATCTTTAGAGCACGTGGAATAACACGTGGCGATATAAGTTACTACAAAAAAAAACAACTCAAAAACATCCAACTTTAGCCGAAATATGAGTTGGCAACACTACATTTACTACCATGACACCAAGCTCGAAATATGTCACGTGACTCTTACGTTGAAAAACCACTAAAAACGGCACATGTTACATGGCATGAACAGTGTGCCACGTGTCATCCGCTCCTAGGAGTCGTCTCGTGACACTCGGAAAAAAAAAGTAAGAAAAAATGACCACTTTTTCATTGTTGATGTTGCAGAAGTCGCAGCACTTCCAGATTCTAAGCCCGAACACTAATACATGCTGTGGGGTGAAAGCCCAGAGCGTGTGTCTCCCAGGGGGGGGGGGCTGTGGGGGGTTCCAAAAGTATAGTAGGGATAGTGTGGGTGTTGGAGGTCGGGTAGCCGAGGTGGAGTCCGAGTTGAACTCGGAGTCCGAGTCCGGGTCCGAATCCGGGCGAGCGAGTGCTCTTCACGTGGTATACTGCGTGCGGGGCGAGCTCAAAGTGGGCTTTGGCTTCTGGCTTTGGCTCGTGGCTCTGCTTTTGCTACCTGCAACATCACACTCCCTGCTCGCCACCACAATGCGCATTGGGACGGGTCCTGGTGAAAGCCAGGAGACTCGGATCTTTGCGTGCGGTGGTGGTGGGCTGGCTGGCAGTTAATCCTCCTGATGTGGGGTGGTGTGTGCCTTTGGTAGAGGGCTGCACACCTATTGCTGTGG